ACCTGCCAACTGCCTTCCCCGTTTTCAGGGGAGGGCAGAGAAAAGTAAGGGAGGACTGTAGCATGCAACTGCATGAACCTGGCCAAGAGAATGGCCAGGAGCATGCAGTTAGATCAGTTTTATTCTTTTCTTTTTCTTTTTGTCTATTTTTGTGAGGACACTTGTCCTCACGTAGTGCTACCTCTGGCAGAAGCTTCTGCCAGAGGTAACTGTCAGACTCCCGTTTTTGAAGGGAGCCTGGAAATTAAAAAGCCACTAAGGAAAAGGCTAGCTACAACCTTTTCCCCGATGTATCTGCCCTGGAAAATAGGTCCAGATACATCAAACTGTAAGGGGTTGTATCTCTCCAACCCCTTATCAGAAAAAGAAAAGAAAAACACTTTTGGAAATGGCAGGAGACCAGCTATCTCGCCAGATTCCGAGATAGCTGGGAAAAAGAAAAGAAAAATAAAAATGGGGCAGTTAAAGAAACTGCCCCACACTAAGGCTGTGGCTGTGGTGCGGCCACAGTCAGCCTTGGATCTTGGCAGATGAAGGGCTCACAGTGAGCCCACGATTTTGCCTGGGGGCTGGAGTGACGCCCAACCTTCCTCAGCCACTATAAAACAGCCAGCTGCACCCAGCTGCCACACAAAGCATTCGTGCTGTCATTGTGTGACGTGCACTTGAGTGCTACTGGGCTGTTGAGGTGCTGCCTGAGGCAAGGAGGAGGAGCTGGAGATCTGCAGAGGAGCGCGAAGAGGAAGACTGGGCAGCCATAGCTAAGGCAGGGAGCACTCTGCTCCTCTCCCCTCTGGCTGGTGCTGGTCCCACGGGACAGACCCAGTGGTACTGCGGGACTGCGGCAGTGCGGCGCTGTGAGATTTGGGCCTGGGGCTCAAAGTTTACCAATTTTGGCCTGCCATTTTCTCACTACGGTGGGGAAGTGCTGCCGAAATTTTACAGCGGCAGTCCCAGTTTTTACTGCGGTGGTACCGAAGTGCTGCCGAATTTCTGCAGCGGCGGCACAGGTTTTTTTTGCGGTGGTACCGAAGTGCTGCAGCGGCGATACAAGTTTTATCGGCGGTGGTGCGAAAGCGCTGCCAACATTCTACGGCGACGACTACGGTTTTATCGGCGGTGGTGCGAAAGCGTTGTTGAAATTCTACGGCGGCGACTACGATTTTTTTGGCGGTGGTATGGAAGCGCTGTCTGAATTTTACGGTGGCGACGCAAGGTTACCGGCGGTAGGAGTTCCACATTTAGCGGTAGCCGGACCTTGGTGTAGGGAAGGTACCGCTGGAGCAGAGGATTGAGGTGGCGTGAATTTTGACGGCGTGGTGACGCGGTAACAGTGGAAGTCAGTGGCGGTGACACTCATTGGAAAACATAGTGAGGAGGTGTTGTGGCAGGTGGTTGTGGTGAAAGGAGTGGTGTGGATTATTTGTCGGCGACTGGAAGACAACTGTCTCTTGACAAAGGGGTGTAATTTTATACGACTTTCTTGAATGAGCCGTTATTATCTTCATTTCAGATCACTCAAGGTCAGTTAAATTTGACTCAGTCCCCTTCACACCTGAGTGAACCCACACTTGCTTTGACCTGTTTCACTGAATGTTAATTGAAAAGGGGAAGAGGATGTGTGTTCTTGCGTGTAATGACTGGGAGTCTGACAATGGTAAAGGAATGCATGGTGGTCTGTGTGTCGTTGGGTTTTGACTGCAGGTACGGCACGTGGACTGAAATGGATGAGGGTGATGACGGTGAAAGAATGATTTACTTTTTTATCTTTGTGCTTGTGTTCTATGTATAAATAAAAGAGAAAGAAGACGACGAGAAACGAAGCGAGCACAAGGAAGAAAAGTTCAATTGAATTAAACTTATTCCCTGAGATTACCCATTCTTTCCCGAATGACCCTTTTTCCTAAGCCTGTCAGTCTGAATGATTCTATCTTTCTACGAATTTCTTTTTCTTCGTCCAAGTTTACTTTTGACGTTAGGCGACAAGATTCTTCTTGTCTGCCGTGTAGGTGCTTTCCCTTTTTCTAGGAGGCATCTGGGGCGGGGGTTTGTTGCCTTAGGGGTCGGCCCTGTTATCGACTCAGAGTGGACCGCTTGGCGGGGGGGTACTATTCCGATTCGGTGGAGACGGCCCGACTTCTGAGACCCAAGATTTATACTCGGGCGAGGAGGAGGAGTGTCCCAGACCACCTCTTAGGGTAATGGAAAAGGCATCTAGATGGAAGAAAGTTATTTCTTGACACCTTGCGTAAAAAGAAAACTGCTTTAGCACTCCTGTTTTAAGTGGTCATCTTAGGTACCACTGACGTATGGAGAGTTGGTGCCACAAGCAGCACGACTCGTGTCCTACTAGCTGAACGGAGTAAAGTTAGATACTCCTAACGTGGTTGGTCGTGTCATAAGAAGCACAGGCCGTAAGGAAGACAAAAACCGAATAATACTCGCAGGTAAGAGTTTAACTCAAAACACATTTGTTTTTCTTTTTCCTTTCAGATGGCTATGGGATCTACGGACTTGTTATTTTCCAACAACCGAGACCTGGCGGAAGAAAGGGTTGAACTTCAGAGGCGTAATGGAGTAAGAGTAGAGAGGATTGGACGACTCGTTTACAACCCGTCCGAGCTATATTCTGAGGAGGACTTTCCTCGATTCTGGAGTGGAAGCGCGCGGAATCCTCCCAGGCGACTTATATTTAGGACAGGGTCTGGCCCGGATATTATTCATTATGAGTTTTCACCACCATTGCCCGAACGCGACTTCGTCAATATGAACCTGGTGGTATTGCAGCCATATGAGATCAACCCACGGGTGGACGAAACTGCGGAAATAAGGTTGATGTTCGTTCGATACGTGCTTTGGCTAAACGATCGACAAGGACCTTTCTTCAATATATACTTCGCAGAATGGGTGCGAGCCAATAGGTTCGCAATCGTAGACATTGAGCCATTATATGATGATGAATTGGAGGCCGAGGCAAAAGAAATAGAGGAATATCTACGCGACTAATTCTGACTTTGTTCTGATACGCAGATGCCTGGAGCTCGACGAGATTTTACAATTCCGAGGTACCTGCTAGTTCGCGATACGCCCGAGGAGGATCTTATCAGGAGTGCAGAGCGACTTTTACGAGTTCGAGATGGATCTCCTACCGAATGGATCGGCTTCATTGGACTGCTTCGAAATGGCGAGGGATTCTTCCCTAACTTTCGCGCGGATTTCAGAGCCAACACGGCTCGAATTTCTGACGAGCTTTACTGTTATACTTTGTATTTCCACCGCGCGAGTGATGTCCAATGTCTCTCTCGAGTCATTGTGAGTATCAAGATTACCTCGTCCGGTAGGCATTTCGGCGTCGTCCGGATCTGGGACACAGAAACTCGACACCTATTTGGACTTAGTCGACCTCTCCGAGTTATAGTTTGGAGACTAGCCTCTCGGATGACCTCCTTCTATAATACTAGGATTATTAGAGTCATGCGATGTGGACGAATGTCTACTCTGATTTTCGACGACGACGAGCTGACACGTTTGGATTTGTTGGAGGCACAGGTGCGCAACGGGCGACAGATCTACCAGGATTAGACATTGTCTTCTGAAAATCTTACTCAGATTTCAGAAAACACTTCGCGTGGATCCAGTCCCGTTGAGGAAACCATATAATTTATGGTTTCACGAGGTAATCTAAAAACAAAAACAAAACACTTTATGTAGTTAGGACCGCCGGATGGATAGTATTCGGATCACCCCGATGATTTCACTATCATGCTTATGCATTGAGGGGTATTCGTTCGCATAAAAATAAGCTGGATAAAGTGAAAAGCGAACGTCAGAAAAAAGTTGTCAAGCGAAGCAATGGAAGATGTAATATCTCTGCGTTGCGTAACTTGGTATTGGAGATGGATACTCCATCATTCGTGGAACAGAAAGAGAAATTATTTTCCAGGAGGACAAAGCGGCCAACAAAGTTGTCACTCGCTCGTCCAAGTAGTTGCATATGGATCACCCCGATGATTTCACTATCATGCTTATGCATTGAGGGGTAATCGTTCGCATAAAAATAAGCTGGATAAAGTGAAAAGCGAACGTCAGAAAAAAGTTGTCAAGCGAAGCAGCGGAAGATGTAATTTTTCTGTGTTGCGTAACTTAGTATTGGAGATGGATACTCCATCATTCGTGGAACAGAAAGAGTAATTATTGTCCAGGAGGACAAAGCGACCAACAAAGTTGTCACTCGCTCCTCCAAGTAGTTGCATATGGTACGGAAACATGGTCGAACCGAGAGTTCAAACATCGACCAGGAACCAGATCACTTGGTACCAGTGGTATTTACTTGTAGAAGTTATTCATGACAAGTTTCAGTAGTCATGATAAGAAGATCAGTCTTAGTTTATTTCTTTAAATTAATAATCTTTGAACGACAATATAAAAATTCTTTCAGTCATACAGGTTGAAAAAGGACATTTTGGCAGACCAGCTCATCAAGTCAACGATTTGGATTGTGTGATTTTGTTTTAAGATATGGAGATTCTTGTTGTTTGATTGCTAGGGACTAAGGATCGTTTTCACGCTTGGTTGAGACTATCCTAGTCGACCGGCGTACGCTTCATACTTGGGAGATCAACGCCCCAGGGAACGAACGACGCTCGAGTTCTTTCGGCGTTTAGTCAAACAATTCCTATACTGCAGCGAGACGAGCAAACGCCCTTGGCTGATCTACCTCTGCGATTGCATTTAAAAGCCTTCGCACGTGGATCGGTAGCTCGGTAGGGATACGCCCCTAAGGGTGATGACAGCCCCTTAGGGATGCAAGCTTATGCCCCGCGGGAACCTGTCCTGTCGTAGGGGACCATGGGATGTATAGCTGGCGCACCCGGCTAGAGCGGCGAAGGAGCGAAGCAATCGCGTCCGTCTCGGCGGTTCGCGGAAGGTTATGCGTCGTTCCCCGAGTTGTCTCTAAAAGTAATGTTTTAGGTAAAGTCCTGCGTGACATGGCCGGGAGGGCCCTCGTTTTCGCGCGAGGGCCGAAGCGCGCGACAACAGGACTTCCAAGCCCGTGGCAGGTATGAAACCCTATCCACTCCTTGAGAACCGGGGGCAGCCTTTCCTTCAACAACTTATAGCCTCAAGTTAATTTCATGCACCAATGTTCCCGCCCTATACCTAATTGATGACAACAAGAATTGACGTCAGCAAAATATTTGACGTCAGCAGAATATTTGACCAGCAGCTTGCATCCAAGGGAGAGACTGACAGTATGCAGAAAATAACAAAAAAATTGCGGGCAAGAGCAGGCTTAGGGTTGAGGAGCACTTCTCATCCACTCGCTGACAGTGGATGAGGCTTCATAAATCTTCAGATGAGTCTTCCTTCTCACTGGCCTTGCTCAACCCTCCTAGCCACTTCCACTTCGCCCTTCACCCTCCTTACTCTTCCGGGTCTCCCCCTAAGCTGGGGTAATCCGACCACACCTGCTGGCCTTTACTGAGCGCCAATCTTCTTCCTCCTTACACCAATGCAACGGGAGTTCGCTCTGATAGCAGTGCAACGATGTGACTCCATTTGACTCCCAATTCACATCCGCGAAAGCACTCAGAGCTCACATAACGTTTGCAAAGCAAAGTAATGAGAGAGGTATCAACACTCCCACCTTCTGCCATCATCTCTCCGCACTCCCGCCATCTCTCTCTCTCTCTCTCTCTCTCTCTCTCTCTCTCTCTCTCTCTCTCTCTCTCTCTCTCTCTCTCTCTCTCTCTCTCTCTCTCTCCC